ATGTCTAGGGGTCTTTCCAGTTTTAATGGAGACGTTCGCTTCCTCCTCATTATCTCTTCCGCGTTTCGAGCAGCGAGCGTGATACCAAACCAAACCCTCGTGTTTCTACAGATCCTTACATCGTGCCTTTTCTCGTAAACATATAACATTCGAGACAATAAATTTTCTCTCTCTTTCTCTCTTTCTCTTTTGTGATATTTTATAATATCTTAAATTGAGAATGGATCTTTTAGTGGAACTTTAATTGACAAGTAGATTTGAATTTTTATTATCTATTAATTTATTTGAATTTTTGAAGATAAATTTTTTATCTTAAACAGGAAATTATATTTTTTTTAAATAGGAGATTGCGAAGATGCTTTATTGTCTGTATCAAAAGATTTTGATGTACAAATTTGTATATTTTTTTTTTTACTTTAGATAAAGTACTATATTTCGTAGATAGGGAATTATTTTATACATTTTCTGATATTACATGCATTGTGTGCATTATCAAACTTAATCAGTTCTTATCTATAACTTTAAGTCTACACCTACTTATAAGTATACCTTTATATATATAATAACGACTTTAAGATAACACGAAGGATCTTGCGAACGAGCTTTGAAATACCTCGCGAACACGGAAATAAAACTACGGCAGGAAAGGTTCCATTTATATTTTCCTATAGCAAGAAAGCGGAAGACGATTTGATACACGGCTGAACAAACTGAAATTCCGGAATGATAGAGTCGGGTCCGCGAGCCACGCACGAGTCTTCAATCCGGAACTTCATTCGTTCTTGTGGAGATCAAGTCCTTGCTCCCCTTTCCACGGTTTCCGAGATACGAACGCATAGCTATGCCACTTTTGATATGGTTCCGGCTGGGCAAGGACCTCTCGACCCTGCCTCGGGTCGAAGCTTCGCTTCGAGGGTCGTCGCGAGGCGACCAGATGGCAGAGACCTTTCGCTTAGGTGCTTTCAAGGTGTGCACGTGCACGTTCAATCTTGCTCACGAATGCGAAGCTTGACGCGTCGGCGTGATATCGCATAAACGCGCGTTTCTATCGAAATCGGAAGAAACTCCCTTCTTCCGCATGCTTACCGGACCCCGATATTTCACATGGCTAATAGATTAAAATTCCTCGAATCAACGTCTTCCTGACGTCTCTTAATTATCGAATTGACCGTAAAAGGACTACTGAGGGTCAGATCACTGATTAACTTAAAACGTACGTATCTATTAGGTTGTCCGAGAAGTTTCTTTCGTTTTATAAAGAAACAATAGACGCACAATGTTTCTTGTTTTATATTAGTTTATTGAATTGTGCACGAATATAATAATAGAAATAGAACGAAATGGATCATACCTAATTTAATAAAATAATATAGAACAGAAATTGTTGTTCATCTATTATCACCTTATGAAACGAAAGAAACTTTTCGGACAACCTAGTATTATATATTAGGGCAACTGAATCTTCTCTTGAGTCACAATCTTCTCTTATTATATAATGATTTTATTATTATTAGATTACAGATATTTATCCAAGTTCATATTCTTTGCGAATATAGAGAATTAGAATTAATTCGATAGATAGAGAATTTTTCTACTTAATAAATATTATATTTTAGATACTTTTGCATGTCTATGGATTCTACGCATTCTTGTATCTCTCGATTTTCTAGAAATATATAAAGATATACAGTTTAATTATTAGAATTATTTTAAAATAATTTCTCCGAAGTATTTTTCATCGTTTCAAAATTTCCAACCCGCAGGATGTAGCAATATATTCTGACTTTTAAAATCAAAATTATTTGTCACTTAGCTCCAATACAGTAGGTATAGTATATATACACTATGATAAATCCCTTGGCACAAACTATACTGCGTTGTAACGTTCAGATGTACCAGTATAAATTTCCTAGTAGCAGAACTGTGACAAACGTCCCCGTATAAAGGTTAATTAATAACTAACCATGTCATAATCATGACAGGTAGCAACTGGCTGCAAACGAGCCACGGACAGCCAACCACTAAACGTATGACAACCGATGATCCACTGAACATTCAATAGAATTTCCTATTAACGTCAAATGCGAATACGGCAGTCGACAATTTTTTAGAAGTAGGTTTCTTTTTCTTCATATATTACAATACAAACATAAGGGGAAATTTTTGTGTATAAACGCAGCATTCAATCAAAAGCATTTAGAACGTCTAAACTGTACACCTTAGATTCCTAACATTGCGGGTTGTGACAGATAAATCTTAATTTTATGGTCTACTAGAAACGAATCTTTTCGTACATTCACGCGAAAGAATATTCTTTTTCTCGTGTTATTATCTAAATGTGACTTATATGAAAATAATTCAAGTAAAACATATACCTTTTATCGTAAGTAGAAAAGAATGTTCGACCAAAAATGCATGAAATTGCAACACAATTATCAAGCATCAATTTTGTTGTACCTTAGATCTGCTTCAAGAATTATATCCGTGATATTCCCACTTTTTAAGCAACAAAGGCTTCAAAAATTCTGACTTTGACATAAATATTTGAAATTAAATAGATAGCAGAGGAGAATAGTCTATTTGAAAAAGAGAATTAAATATGCGATCGTTTTGCGTCAAAGGACCTTCGTGCGCTCCTATGGCTGAAAAAATCCGATTAGTAAAATGAGTCGATGGTATATAATTGAAACGCTGGAATATTCTCTTTGTTCCGTCTTTCTACGCTTTTCTTTTTCATTACCATTTTCCACACTAAAATATTTTTAACTTCAAAAACGTTTAGCTTCACTTGTTTCGCAAATGTTTGTGTAAAAGCTACGGGTCTTTCTGTGTCTTAAGTGTAAGAATACCGACGCATATGAATGAATAATGTTCATGTGAAACAGATAACTATAAACCGTATAACTGAAAAAAGATCGTGCTTTTTGTTGATATGGAGAAAAAAATCTCCCCGGTAACTATTTGCGGAAAGCTTTGCTTCAAATATAAAGAAATAAAGACAAAATATGTTTAATCTAAATGGTACATTTTTAATCGTGGAATAATTGAAAACACGCACTTTTTCCTTCGAAATATTTAAAAATTGGACAAAGATTTTAAATTCATTTAAAAAGCATCTTAGTAGAGAGTAGGAATTGTCCAAAAATCTTTACTTATAAGTTTCTGAATATTAAAGGTAATATCAATTCGTAATGTCAAAAGATTCTTTTATTTATTACCTAAAAACTAACTTCGTCAAAAACCATATAAAAATTACTATGAAGAACATTTTCAAGATATAATTAATCTACTTACAAACTTACAACTAAATAGTTAGTTAATTTCAATTAAATTTAGATTCTGATTTAAACTTCATTTTATTCAAACGTAATGAAGAAGTTCTCTAATCGTGCACGCATTATCGTCGTTTGCAACGATACGAAGATAACGGATCTGTAAAATCGCGAATTCTTATCTAACCGCTGAGGCACCTGATTCTCTTGACTCAACCTACACCGATCATCCCTTTATGGGCAACTATAATGAGAAGGTTTTAACATGCATTACTGCATCTACTTACGCAATTTCCGATAATCTTTGGAATAAAATCAACGAGATCTTATGACATGTACGTATATACTTAACCGGCTGGTAACTGTATACTCGAGCCAATATCTAAACCCTTGTATTCAAAGATGAATGCGGAAGAAAAGTCGATCCGATTGACGGTAACGAGCTCGACTACAAATTAGACCGAATGATCATTATAACGATCGAGATCCCGTCAATTTTTCTAAAATCTGACGCACCGTCATCGATGTATAATTGTAGTTGTAGCATAACCACGATATCGTGCCAATTTTTATTTCTCCCTTTTTCGTGGTATTTTCTATGGGGAGAGGAGAAAACGTAGTGACGTGGGCATAATTAGTCCGGCCACGATCAAAGCGTTCCTCTAATGCCTTCGAGCGAACGCAAAGTGACAACGATGAAAAACAGCGCGCGTGCAGACGCGGGAATGTAGCGCGGTAAAATATTTAGCGAGAAAAATATTTAAACAAAATCGACGTTCTGCGTTGACTGGCGCACAGGGGCAGAGGAGTCGTACCGTGGATATAAAAGAGTATTTGCGCATAGTCTTATTATCTGATAAAGCTCCGTCTTTTTTATCGGACTCTATGTACGCTTCATTTTCACAGTATCGAATTTTTCATACTGCAGCATAGTAGTTTGTAGTCCTGTTATTAATATTCTAGAGTGAATATATAAAATGTTGTTCGTGATATAACGAGCAAATATCGGGTAAAAGAAACATAATTCGCTAGAAACAGCAAGTAAATTACTAAAATCACGAAAAATTCATGAAATCGATAGAAATGATTAAACGCTGCTATAGGAGGGTTTATTCTCTCTCGTTCACTTTCAGAAGTCACGAGTGGCAAAGAAAGAAAATGTTGCCCCTATATATCGTTCCATCCTACAACACTAACTAACTTATAACACTAACACATACAACAAATACTTTTTATAGCTGTAAATAGGGAAAATCCAGTGAAATGACAAATATACGAGGAATCTGGGTGGCTCGCAGCTATTTCTCTGCAACTTTTCCAGAAAGATAGCCCGACCGTTCCCTTCGATGTTCCAGCTCGCATGAAACGTCGAGGATGGCCGCTTCATGACCAAGAAACACTCGAGACTCTGTAGGGGCGTGATATAACGTCCTCCTTCTCGATCGAGGAACCCAATAACTGGAAAACGCACCGAAGCGTGTAGAGGTGCTTTCGATTCTCCAAGATCTACTCGAGGAAGACGAAAAGAGAGAAGAAGAGCCCTGTGCGCCGTGTGTCGATTCGCGTTGAATCTCGAGGCGAGTGCGTCCGCCTCCTCTGCCACCCGCAACACTGGAGGCGGATATCGCGACCGAAGACGGGAAAAAGAACCAGGTCGCCGGAAAACGACCGTCCGTTGAATAGGATTCGCGATGCAGCAAACGAAAAATAGCCATGTTTCATACTCACCGGCACAGGAAGTCTCTCTCGCCTAAACAGAGCTCCAAACAGTGCTGTCGCGAGGAGGCATTCATAGTTCTGCGTGTGTGCCCCTGAAGACGATGCCCCTGGACCCTGTCGATACACCAGGCACGTTCGCATGGTTTCACAGCCAAGCAGCTCTTCTGAGCGTAAATCGTGAATACTGGAAACTGGGATTGTGAAAGAGCGCCTGGAACAACAAAAATCGTCGAATCAGGTTACACATTTAGGCTGATAAAAATTGGATTTCTCTTCTTATCGTTTCCGAAATATAAACGAGAATATTCTTAAACAAACAGATGCAGTTAAAGTTTTTAAATATTTACAAATTTTATCGTTAAAGGTGCCACGTCGTTTAATAATTGGATTAAAATATTTAAATACATTCTATCGAGAAATATATCGAATAATGTAAAAGAGTAAAAATTTTAGTCTAAAGGAGTACTATTGATTTTTATTAAAAATAACTTTTAGATCATGGTGATACGTGTATGTCATTGCTTGAAAACTTGTTTTTAAATTTCCCAATTTTCTAATAATAATACGATACGATACGAGACAAGGTGATAATTCGTTGATTTTTGTAAAATACCAGCGTGTATACTCACAGCGTGTATATTTTTCTTGATTAAAATATGTTTTACAAATTATAAATTGCACGGCGCGCAGTGCCGAAGCTATGAATGTTCTAATTCAACTTCGCAAGTTGATATTGATGCGGATGAGTGACTGTTATACTCTGAGCGGACGAAAGTACTTCTCGCTCGGGGCAGCTCGTTATTCTTTCCCTGTCGATGGTTGAGTCGAGAAGGACAGGGGCCGCGTTAAGTGGTGGAATAATTTCTGCGCCCTAGTGTCGCTGTCGCATCATCCCTCTTTTACGAAATCATAATTAATCTCGGCAAACTTGACGGATAGAGGTGGGGCATTTTCGATCGTGATTCGTCGAAAAGTTTTCCGCGAGATAGAGAGAGATAGGTAGATAGATAGATAGATAGAGAGGGAGTGGGGGACTGCCACGGGGAGAAGAACAAGTTAACGCGGTAACAGGTTCGCCAAAACACGGAACATCGATCTTCCAGCAGGCGCTAAAGATATTCAATTACTTGGCTCTAGAAGGCTTCGCGGGACTAATGACTGTAGCTAATTTTAATGGTCGGCAAGAGACCACAACGATAACCGCAACGTTAAACGAACGTTCGTTTTGCGGCTTCGACACGATCTACGATGTCGAATCATTCGTGGAACGTCGGATAGTAGGAAGATCTTCACTCGTTACGGGCCGAAGGATAAGCGCATTATAGTAATCAACGGCCACTTCCGGGGGCCTATATGCAGAAGACAGGTACCATTTACTCGTTATAATGCTACCGCATTACCAGATAATGGAACATCGTCGGATCGTAAATATTTTACAGGCACCCAGAGAATTTTATCGGAGAGCTTTTCACGCTTCTTACATTGTTCTCAACCGTTTCTCTCGTTTCTCCTATTCTAATCGAAAAATACCATCTCTGTTAGGCATTGGGTATGCTTTATATAGTTTCATTATTCTCATGTATTTCGTCTCTAAGCAACGTATAATAGGACTTCAAATATTCTCCTCGATTGAATTTCCTTCTAACAATTAGAAATGTCATGAAACCCACTATCCAAGCCACTAGATGTCCTATCTGGCATCCTTTCATTTTTCAAGATCCGAATCGCTCAGAAGCTATGTTGATTAACTTGATAAATTAAAATATCTGGAAAAACGACTATTATAGATATTGTCTTTTTTTCATTTTTCTGAAATTTACCATTATTTGTGCTATCTCGTTATGATAAATAAATTTATAGAAATCATAATGGATAATATGGAATTGATCGAGTGTCACACTTAACGAAATTATTGCTATCACGAAATTGTATTATAACGAATTTTCTTCTTCAAAGGGTAATTAAATACGATATGGGAAATTTTCATATTTTCGTGTTTTTTCTATGTTGGCGAAAATTACAGGGAATATTCGTAGACGTGAGAAAGAACGAATATTGTAAAGGGGAAAGAATACGGTCACCTTAATTATTTGCATTATCGCGATCTCTTTTAGCTCTGATTCATAACCTTTGACGGTGGTTAATTAAAAATCCGTAGAACTGTGACTTCAGTTGACACAAAACACGATTTATCAATTAACCGTTCTCGGTTTTTTAACATGGGAATGGTCCTGGCAAGTAATCAGCCAGCTGAATCGATTTGGTAGTTGTGCACGTAGGAAAAGAACGTTTCTACCTGGACTGCGGAAAAGAAGCGTCACACGTAGGCCGTGGTATTGACCGCTGCTATCGTTCCGTATTTTTCACCGTTCGTTTAACCAGCTCCCTTCCGCGTCGCTCGTTTCGCTATGAAAAATATCGTTCCCGTACCTGCTATACCACAAACTACTGTTGGAATACCTGAACGCCCAAATGCGTGATAAATACTAGTCGTTAAGTGTACCGAGCAAGACTAATTCTTGAAGGGAAATTTAACTTTATCATGAAACGGTTGATGCTCGTTATTTATTTCACTGGGTTTCGTTCAGTATGAATTTCTGCTTACCATGTCGTTTAAGACAAATTCTCAAATAATAATAGACGATAATTTTTTAGAACGATGGTTACTTTTATTATAACATGATCGTGTTTGACACGAAGTCTGACTCAATTTCACTTATACTATTCATATCACTCATACATACGTAATTATATATTTACACATATATATTGATCGAAAGTTTGGAACTATTATGCGTTTTATAGAATGCAAGAATTTAAGAAATTCCGTTTAATATTCAACAAATCAAACTTATAATTTCCATAGTAGACTATTTAATTGTGCCAATCCTCGTCGTACTATATAAAATCTAGTAAGTCGTACTGGTAACGGAAGTCGCACGCTATCCATCAACGTGGAGGAATACAAATTGCTCGTTGAGCGTATGAAGCGAAATAAAACAATAAGCGTGTCGAATCGAAACTGCCAATCTCTGAGAGCACGACGCTCTGGCGCTAGTCCAGCTTCCCTTACATTCCTACTTCCATTTCTTCGGCTGGGGATGCAGATTCCAAGCAAGATTGCGTACAGTCATAAATCTTTTAATTTCTGTCACGATACGAAAGTGGAATAGTAGGGAGATTAACATGCTTGCCTTGAAAGCTATCGTCGTCTCCTTGCAAAACCGGACGCTTCTCTACTTTCCGGCAACGTATCGAGCTCATTTCTATCAGCGGGTTATTCGTCTCGGGGCCGGGTCTTATCGTCCGACCACTTCGCTCCGGAAAAATCTTCCGCTTCGGAAGGACGTGCGCCTCCGTACTTAAGCGAAACGAAATAGCTTTATATCGTCATAAATCTAGCACAGATTTATCGACCGGTGCACCGTTCCACCGCAACATTCTACATCATTTCATATACCGAGACAGAGGGATTCTTTGTGAGCGAGGCTAGTAAGGAAGTAACAGAAAGGAAACTTCCACGTGTAAGTTGTCACGACATCGAGGGAAATGCGGAACGGCCCAGGGCTGGCCGCATCTGCAGCGTCGGTATTACGGAACGGCGATCGCACAAAATGATGCAAGTAAAGCGTCTGTGTTCCATGGTACCCGTGGAATAGTTCGATTTCTGATATACGAGCTACATTTAGATACGGTTCAACCTCAAGTGGCATCGACAATGTCCCAACCCTTTCCTCGGACTCCTCGTCGCGGTAAACTTGATGTACAATCTTGGTTTTCTTTATCTTCTCTCGGATACCCCTTTTCTCTCTTCTCGCTTTCTTTTTCTAACCGCTGTTATTCCTCCCTGTCGCGTCCCTCCGGCTCCCTTCCTTTCGCGAACAAAGGCAATGAAATTCCTTCCTTACGTGGACTTTCCGCGATTCTTCTCGCATTCCGATACACGGTGGTCTCGCTAAGCATTCCACTTTGAATATTACCGAGATCACTCGAGGCAGGGTAGAATGTCGTGGTTTAGAGACTGTTTTGAATCTTTTTCTTTCAGTAATATACAGTAGATGTGAATAATATTTCTTGAAAAAAAGCAATTTTTTCACTGTTAAGTGGTGGAATTATTAATTTACTGACGTGATAATTATTTCACGATAAACGTTCTCATACCATTTTATCTCATTAGAATTACTATTTATTATTATTAATAATCAATAGAAAAAACATTCAATAAAAAATATTCAGTCTTGAAAGTATTAAAGATTGTGTTCTTGTATCTTTAAGAATCACGGATTAGACATCCGGATACAAATACAAATTTTCTTTATCTAGCTGTGTTAGTATTGTAGCAAATCAAAGATGCAATCGATTATGATAATAAAGGTTTCCATATGGGAAACGACGCTCTATGGTCATAATTCCTTAGAAATTAGATTTGCTACGCGCTACAAATTAAGTCCCTTAATTTTGTTCTTTAATTGGCGGCAGTCATGGAAGAAGTTAATTTAATCCATTGCAAGATAATTTTCTATTATCGAAGAATCATAAACGGTGCTCCACTCCACTCCACTATGCGATCATATTTCAAATATCTATGTATAGCTCGTTTCTCATAAATAAATGAAATACAACTCGATAGAAGTAAAGACTATCGTACAAGCTTACACCATCATCGACGTAACCTTCACACTTAACGAACCGTAAGAAATTGCGTGAACATCTATATTATTGCAAATTGAATATTAGAGTAAAATTGAATACCACGCCATTCGATAACTGACTAGATTTTTCCAAGCCTGTTCTGTCCAGTAATTGTTCTTAATAATTACTATTTCACACTCTGTAAATATGTTTAACAACGCTACATTAACTACAGTGAATAATTATTTAATCGAGCTGCTTAATTACCGCATTAGCTTTCGAACTTATTCAGGTTTGAATTAATTTGGATTATATATTACAGAGCTGATCAAAGGGAAGAGTTGTAATTATAGATGTTCCAGTGGAGAAAAATCTAACGCAATGAATTATACGTTTATCGTTTATCCCTCTAGTACCGTGATTTTAAATGTTACGTATCATGTTCGTGATATATTACACAGAACAGAATACGTTATTGTTTAAGAGTAGAGTGCACTCGTACGAATACTTTGGAGAAGAAATCAGTGCGCATAAAGTCACGCAATCCTCTCATTTGCATTAGACTTTTCCCCAATCTAG